TTGCAGTTTGATGAGAGAACACACTGTCTAACACAGGGGAAACACTTGTTTTCTTCCAGAAAGCAATGACTAAAAGACATGTGCTAAACAGCAGGATGCCTTCAAGTCACTGCCCATTTCAAGGACTTTAATGTTGCAACTGGACAGGAGTCAGTCAACTTACTATTTGTATCCAATATTTGTTCCCTCTGAAATACATTTTACCGATTTTTGCTTTTATCGATCCCCGGAAATTTGGTAATTAACAATAAATAAAAGTTTAAACTAAACAAACTTTAAATAATCATATATCTAACTGACATGCTGCATCTGCATGACTTTACATAGTGGTTGTTAATTTTTAGACCTTCTTGAACACATCACAGGACAAATCAGCAGTTTTGTTCAAACCCAAAGCCACTTGGTTTCCACTGATGTTAATTCCAGTGGTGTAGATAAAGACCACTACTGGACTGCAAAATATTCCTTTGAGGGTATTGGTGTGTAAAAGTGTTTTGTTATACTGGATTCAAAGGCATCAATGCAATGGTAGAATATCTTTCTAAAGGTGCATTCAATTTGCTCAGCATTAATGAGATGTCTAGAACACATTTATGAAACAGACCTGTTACTGTTTAGACACAGATGTTTAAGTGAAATCTTTAATTTAGCCTATTTTAAATTAATTCTGTTTTAGCAGTCAGGCTCAGTCTTTAAAAAATGGATGAGTTAATTTACATGGGTGCAAGCAAAATCTAACAACAAAAACAGTAAAAAAAAAAGTAAAATAAAAAGTAAAATAATAATAATAATAATAATAATAATAATAATAATAATAATAATAATAATAATAATAATAATAATAATAATAATAATAATAATAATAATAATAATAATAATAATACCGTAGGCTTAGAATTAAGATATGTTGTGTAAAGTTTTAGGTTGAAATACCAAACACTTTCTTAACACTAGAGGGCAGCAGAGACTCGATGCAAAAGCTTTGAATGCTTAAACCTTGAATGTAAATGACTCCAGTCTCCTCTTCATGACCTAGTGTTAGCACAATTCAGATCAATTTAGAGGACCAAGGATTTTACATAATACTCTCTAGATAATAAAATTTTCTGGACCTTATGATCCATGACCTGTAATTGTCATTGCTGTCATTATATATTGAAAAGGAATGCTAGCTACATGATAGTAAAAAAGGCTCCTGAAACTTTGTGAAAATCTTGAAGGTTTTCTGACACATTTATGAACACTCAGTGTGGTCTTCATCTTAGTCAACCTTTATTTTAACAGGAATACAAAGCCTTGTATTACAGTCCCTTATATCACCACTAAGGGGAGCCATAGATGTCTGTGTCTGTGATGATTTCCAGGTAGTGTGAAGATCTGGATGTGGACTCAGGATAATGTATTCACAATTTGGATAAAACTATGATTTCTTACTCTTACTTATTAATAAAGTAATTCATCTGTTAGATTCGTGGGGAGGAAACAGGAAATGGGTGATTCAGTTACTACAGAAATGGAAATGAGGAGGTAGTATGGTACAAAAACAGATGTTTGCTCTAATATTTACTCACATACTTTGCATAAATATGCATTATGTAGTGATTAGAAAGCGTTTCCAATGTTTTTTAAAGTACAATACATTTTTTTTTAATATTACTTATGTTTGTTCAGTTCTAAGTTTACAGGACCACAAATCAGACTGCTGTGGTTGATATCATAGCTCAGATAGTGATTGATGGTCCAACAGTATAAGATCTATTTATTTTTTTTTTTACTGCATCAACAGTCTGTCAGAGATAATTGTCAAACTGGGAAGTCAAGCTCCTGCCAGTTGATTCTCAGAAAGCAACATTTTATGAGAGCAACATTTCTCGGTGGTTTTCTGTGTTTACATCTCACTCAATTTTCACTGGTGAATACTGAGTTAATGTTGCCCTCAAAATGTTGCAGAACTTTGTTTAACAGACAGAGTCTGTTTGAACTTTCTGCTGTAGACTAAATATATTTATTGAGTAAATATTCAAATTCCTATTTTCAAGTTCAGATGAACAGTTAAGCTCTTGTTCATTTTAGAAAAATCATTAGTATTTTCTTCAGTTTTTCTTTTTTTAATGAAAAGTTTGTTTTCTTTTTTTTCAGCTGAGACTCTTTCAGATTACAGTGCATTCAGATTTATTAAAAGGTCCCAATCCTGAATGGGGGAACGGTTGACCAACCAGTGTCATGGCCCAGATCCTCTGCAGATAGTAATTAACCCACAATCACTATGGACTGCGATATTTAATAGAATGAGTGACATGTTGTAAAAGCAACGCTGCAGGTGCTCAGTTGAGTTCACATGCAAGTGCAACATCTAATCTGAGAAATATCTACATGGTAAATACAATAGCATGGACAATGGAGGTTTACTGATAGAGACATAGTTCATTCCTTGGAAATCCTCTGATGGTTGGAAGTTGTAAGAAGCTCCTTTTATTCTGCAATTGCAGCAACATGAGCTGCAAGCTCACATGTCCCACAATGTTGGTGGATCGCCTTTTATAATGTGTAAGCATGATTCATACTGGAGCTGGTGTTTGCAAGTTAGTTGCCACATTATGATGAAAAAGGAGCCAAGATTTCAGGTAAGAGTAGTTTTATGGCACGATTGTTTCACAGGCTTCAAATTTAATAATGTTGCTCAGAAACAAAATATAAAAAAAATCTTTAATGTTTATCGTAGAAATCCAAAAAAGACACTTTGCATATAATCAAAATATTCTTGTTATATAGTTGAGTAAAATGAGGACTTAATTCTCTTGAAAGAAATCTGTCCCCCATTGCAAGATTAACTAATAAGATAACTACAGATACTTCTGACACCTGCCCACTGAATTATTGCCTCTCTTCATATCTCTCATGTACAAAAACAAGACCAAAATATGTCAATAGATATCATGGACAAGAGTGTAGATCTGAACAATGCTATGATTGGATGCAAAATCATCGACAAGAAGCTCAGTGAAAAGAATAAAGTTGTTCATGTAACTATTTAAACATGGACAAAATTTAAAATGGCCGTCAGTTTTCTTCTGCCCAGAGCTCCAAGAACATGCCTTATTTGGTGATGATAATGTGAAAGTTGAAATATCCATCCAAAACCAGCTGCTCGGATCTTGTCACTGGAACCAAAGTCACAGAGAACATCATCTCAAACTTACTATGATAATATGGATCATAATCATAGAAGCCCCCTGCTACAGAAAGCACATGCACTGAACTGTGTTTCACTTACAGAGTGAGGAAGTGCTGCAGTCACTTCCAATAGTATATAAACCAAACAATGCAGAGTTTCCATCTCCATCAACCCAGGTCCAAATATGAGGTTTCGGGCTAGTTTTGTGGAAAGGCCACGAGTCAACTTTACTTTCCATCAGTGTCAACAAACCAATAAACCATGTTCTTTACAAACTTGGACAAAAAACTCAACCACAATACCGAAAATGAGTCACAAATGACTCTTTAACTATGAGTGTTGTTGTGGAAGGCCCAGATTGTCTTTCTACTTACAACACAACAAAAAATCTGTGAAAGGAGATGAAGAAGCACCCAAGAAATGTAACAGATGAAGAGTTAATGTGTCAAAAGGAGATGTGTATGGATATGTTTACTATATGTACAACTCTTAACGCACTTAACACACCCATATTCACACCATATAGATCAACTGCAAGGTAAGGCACGTCACTGCTGATCAAATATTCACTCATTTTTTACAGCATAAATTGCAGACATCATAAATCTGCTCCTGGCAGATTTATATGTTATATGGTCAATTTTCCACACGGAAAATCAACCATATAACAGTTTTACTCTTCACTTTGCTTCGATCAGCATGCACAACATGGTAGGAAATAATGTACGCATTGTGATTTTACAGCATTCACCTACCATTATTTCTCCAATATAAAACAATATAAATGGAATTTCCTGGTATACTGATATATGTGAACAGAAAAACTAAATTCATTCTGCATTTGTTGCCATTACCCCATTCTGAGAATGTAAATACCCAAATGTTCTGAAGGGTCTCTCCCCTCTTGTAACCTGGCAGTTCAATGCTGTTCTTTCTGCCAACAACACTGTTTATATCCACTTCGTAACCTTGTCTGTGCTCAGGCCACCAAACCGTAACAACTCGAATTTATAATGTCTTGGAAATGTTAGCTCAGGTTTTTCTGCCGAGGAATGCTCTCAGACCCATAAAGCTTAACAATGACCAATCAACTGTAATTATATCCCAAATTTGCTGCAGCACCACCCTTGCCAGACTGGGCAACCTGGCTGGTAGCCATTTTGTTCTGCGAAGGCCCTAGGTCCACCCTGCAATTTCAACTGCCTTTTCATTTCTTATTGAAATGTTCGTACATGCAATTAAGTTGGACAAGAAAAGGCTTTTATGGTGTTATTTTGGGAGAGCTTTCAGAATGCGTGGGATGAACAGGTCACAGTGTTGCATCAGTGTGCAAAGAGTTTGCTTGAGTTTCCTCCACAGTTTCTGCTAAAGAAATTATACATTTGAAATAAAAATCCTATGTGTCTACAAATGTTGTTGATGGCAAAATTTCTGCCCTGAAACATTTTGTTCTTTAAATATGCAATTTCATCCCTAATAAAGATGATGAGTGAATCGCTAACTTGTATTCTTCAATGGCCCTCAGAGATATTATTTCAGTATCCTGTGACTTTACCAACACATAGAACTCGCATAATTTGCAGCACAAGTTGCATCAAACTAAATCACAATCACCACAAGTTTGTCACATGATGAGAAAAATGTTCAAATGACTGGTTTTTGCTGTCCCTTGCACTTGCTCTCTGCAAACCCCTCCCTAATTCCATAGGACTAAATGAGGCTTTCCTTGGATTTGCAAGCAGTATGAGTCACAATAAGTATTTAAAAAGGCGTTCTCATTAGCCAGAACTTCTATCTCCATCGTGGGTCTCTACGAAAGTTTGAAATGTCTGACATGCTGCTCTCCTGCTGCTTCCTGGTCTTGCTCTTAACTGATTCAGGTTTCACAGCTCCTACACCTATCCCAGAAGAAGAGAGCACTTCTTCATCAGAAACAGAGGTCGACTTGAAGCTAGCCACAGTAAGTGCATCATTGCTTCAATTGTGTTTTACACCTATGTGAGAAGGGAGTATGTGTAAGTCCGAATGCTTTTAGAGCAGATATTTTCTTCAACCAAAAAAACAAAACAAAACAAAAAAAAAATCTGTGCTTGATTGAAATTGTGTTGGCTTTTGCAGAACCTTTTTTTGTCTTTATTAGATCTTAGAAGCCAGTGTAGCTGTATTTGGGTTCAGGTTTGAGTTATGGATTTAATCTAGTATTGGCATAGTTTTTCAAAACTCTACATATCAATCAGGCTATCTTATGATGATCATTAAGCCTATGAATGGGAGTGATGAGAAGAACAACTCATAGCCTGCAATAGCAAAAACGAGATCTTTAGATTGACATGTAGATATTTATCTTAAAACTCTATTTCTGCTTTAAAACAGTTTGTCATTTATAAATGACAAATGTTATGGACAGTCGACTTTGGTTGACAAAATATATACTGACATACAGGTGCACTCTATTCAGCAGGTTGGATTTTTACAATGGAGATACAATAAGAAAGCGTTATAGAGTTAGAAATTCAAAATGCAGGATACGAGCAGGATTTATATCCAATATGACTGCCAAATCACTGTGAAAGTTCCAGATGCTGACACTATTGAAGGTCTCCTGTCAGATTTCTAGCTTGATTCTGATGTTGAAAGAGCTGAAAATTAAGACAATGACAAGAAGAGCTTCCAACCTCAAGTTCTTGGAGTTCATCACCAAAAACACATGGTCAAATATAGTGGCAACACCAAAAAGCTGGTCAGCAATTTTAAGAAGAGTTGGTTATAATACTAATAAAAGGCTTTGCCACTGATTATTGAAAAATATATAGACATTTTTTTTGACAGGCCATTTTTTAATGCTTCATTATTTTGTGAGAGATCCCTCTCTCGTTTCCTATCAAAACCAAAACTTTTTGGCTACCTGAAAATAATTTTAAATCCACATCTACAAGATTTGGATTTAAAATTCTGAGTGTGGATTATTCTGAGTTCACCTCATGCAACCAGAACATAATCAACTTGGGTGTTGAATTATTCTCAGACTTTAATTTCCCTTTGGTATTAATAACATTTCCATTAATTTGAATTCAATTCAATTGATTTTTTTGTACTAATATTTTGTTAAAGGAAGTCATTCACATAGCCCACCATTTCATTTTCACTTATTGAAGAGGTTCTCTACTGTCTGATAGTTGAATAGTAAAAAAAATGAAATACTGTAAATAATGATGAGGCTTTCACTTCTTTTACTCTACAAACTAGGTCTCAAATTTTGAACTAAAGTTTGTTTAAATTTTCTCACCAATGACAAATCTCAGTGTTGGGCTTAAAGTAATTGGTCAGGGTGTACATCACTAGAACAAAGACATGTATTCCTTTACCCAAAGCTGCAAGAACATTTTTTAATATATGATTATGCTTTTTCTGCTGGCCTGGTTGTAATTCAGTTCAAGTAGATTTGAATCTAACCATTTATGGGCTGTAAATTAAGCTATTTCTGAAAATATGTTTTAACTCATGCTAAAGGATGAATCATATAGTTTTACAGTACTTCCTAAACCCCAGTCTATCCTGAAAAATATGATTTTGCTTTTCTTATGCTGGAACCAGTTGTTTTTTGTTTCTGTCTCTACTGTTTTATAAACGGTATTTCTTCAATCTGTTCATAGGACTACCTTCATCAGTACTACAACCTGGAAAATGACCATTTGGTGCGCATGAAGAGGAGCGAGCCCTCCTTTATCTCCAAAGTGAAAGAAATGCAGATGTTCTTTGGGCTCAATTCGACTGGCGTTTTAGACCCTGAAACTCTACAGGTGATGCAGAGCCCCCGGTGTGGTGTTCCAGATGTGGAGGAGTACAGTCATATCCAGGGCACACGCTGGAATAAGAATGTCCTCACATACCGGTACTGCATGTGGCTCAGACTGATTTTCCTTTCTTTTTTGTCATGTCAAAAAATAAATCAGTCTGTCTTCTCCAAATAGCCAAGCCAAACCAAATCCTAAGGCATACTTTGAGGCTAACAGGCAATAAAATCTTTTGGCAGAAATAGGCAGAAGCGGTTGTCACAATTCACAGCAGCTAGCACATTTTTAGCTTTGGATTCATGACTTTGACATGTCTTGTGGGTCTGTTGGAGCGTCAACATGACCATGGCCTTATGTAACACTGTCTCTGTTCTGATTCAACAGAATAGAAATGGTTCTGTTGGATCAGAAGAGAGACAGTGTTCTCTGTCCCAGTAAATAGCTGGAGGCCTGGTAATTTACACACAAAATAAACATTTAATCAAGAAGAAACCTGTTTATCTAACAAGTTTTTATATTTTATTTATGGAAGATTAATTATGTTTGCCTAATCATATAAGGATAGACATGGCCCAGTGTTACATTTTAAACTGAAGTGAATACGATGAACCTGTTATTTCTTTATTACAATTAAAACAGATTTTTGTCATTCTGAAATTTCTGAGTAGACCCACATATTTTAGTGGACGTTTTCAATCAGTTATTGAACTAATGTTGATAAGTAGATGGTCAGTTTGACCACAGTTTCCTGTTGGCTTGTTTGCAGTGATGCTGTTTGTAGCTTGCTAATCATTGTTTTAAGTGCCACCTTCATAAGATCGGGGTGTTGTTCATGCTTTTCATGACCATGTAATATTTCCAAATACCTAACTATATGTTCATTCTGAATAAAAACTAAAACTCTTCAAATCCTCTATACTTCAAAACTAAAACTTCTGTCATACTTCTTTCTATCTTGTGTATATGCTATACACATTGAAAAAACACGTAATACAGAAAATGAAGGGATATTCAAGTCCTGTCACTTCTCTAAAGTATGTGTGTCAATTTTGATGAGCTCACATTGTGAGTAGTGTTTACTGGGATTGGTTTTGTGGATATCGATCCCAGTAATCGATTATTGGGATCGATTACTGAACATATTCAGTCGTGAATATGTTAAGTAATGTTCATTGCTGAACATTTTCCAGTAATGTTCCACTGGGTCATTACTGGATATGTTACACTTCAGCAACCATCTTTTAAAAATTTCTTGCCGTAGCAAAGGATCAGCTGACCAACTCAAAATAAAATTAATATTTTCTTCAGGTGCCTCCAAACAGTCAGATAATTGTAAACTGTATTAATCAGACAGCAAGACTTTTATTTTCAGTTACAAGCTTCCCTCATACCAAGGTGAGGGAATCATCTGGCACAGTATGAGATTATACAATGTTCTTATTACGGCATCACTGCAGCTTTTCAGGCCGGAATTACTTTGTCAAATTGTATATGTTACAGCGTGAAATGCTTTGAAAGCATTATATTCCTATGGTGTCATTTCTTCTTGCCTTATTGGCGTAAAAACTAGGCATGTAATAAGTTAAGAATATTCAACTCTCAGCCTCTACGATTGGTGTCCTAGAGCTTTTAGATGTCACTCTGCTTCAACATGCCTGAGTCATATAATCAGGTCGGTTTTCTGGAGAATCTGACTGCAAATTGAGGAGATAAGTCTGGTCACAGCATTTACCTCTGACTAGGGACACATTAATAGCTACAAAACACCGGCCCTTGAAGACTGTAGTCGAATACTCCTACTCTATTGACAAGTGATATGTATTTTTTTTGTGGCTTCAAAAGTAACTCTTTAAAATCTTTGCTTATTTCATTCACTTTCTAGGGCTTGAAGAAAAAACAAAAGTGCTACTCGTGATTTTATTATGAGTTGACCATGGTATAAATAAACAGCAACCCTTTTGATTTTTTCCCCCCTTCATAGTATAGGCAGATACACCAGAGATTTGCGGCGCAGCATTGTGGACTCTCTGATAGAGTCAGCTTTCGGTGTTTGGGCCAGAACCAGCGGTCTGACGTTCGTCAGGACACACAGCCACAATGCTGACATTATGGTAGAGTTTGTAACCTATGGTAAGTCCATCATTGGCCTCATGTTGACAGTGGCAGTAGACGACAGAAAATCAACAGAATGTAATATAAACATAGTGGGTATCAACTTAGGAAACCACAGTAGTAATTTAAGAGATAACTGAAGCAGCGTCATCACATGAACACTGCTGAACTCATTCAGATGAGGTGAACGGACGGACGGCTGTAATTTGGAAAATGGTTTTCTCTGTGGTTTCTGTTTCATGTTTGGCCTGGATTATATTCTGAAGCGCATGGGGATTTTTATCCTTTTGATGGCCCCAGAGGCACGCTGGCTCATGCCTTTGGTCCAGGCCTGGGTACTGGAGGAGACACGCACTTTGATGATGATGAGCGCTGGACAGCAGGAGGTGCAGGTGCTGAACTCAGTCATACAAGACGAGGCTGAGCAGAATTGCAGCAAGTATAGCAACATTGGTTCTCAATGCCTCTGTTCTGTTTCAGGGTACAATTTGTTTGTAGTAGCAGCTCATGAATTTGGCCATGCTTTGGGACTTAGACACTCTAGAAACCCAGAATCCCTGATGTATCCAACTTACAAAGCCTTCCGTCCAACAAGCCTGCTGTCCAGAGAAGATGTAGCCAATATCCAAGCACTTTACAGTAAGCTGCATTTATTTGTCATATTTGAATGTGCTACTGCATATTTTACTTATAAATGCATTGTTTATTCCTAAATACCTCACTAAATTGTCTTGATGTGTCAGCTCCTCTCAGGGTTAATAGAAACTGGCTCTTTAGACCGGTGCGGCCGAGGCTCATGCAGGACAAATGTGCACCAGACATGACCTTTGATGCTGTAGCAACTCTTGGGGATGCCACCTTCTTTTTCAGAGACAAGTATGTGTATATTTACAAAAAGAAGAAGTGCATACGCATTCATCCGATAATATTTGAAAGGCATATTTACTAACAATGTCTGTTTTAACCTTGGGGTATTCACTCCATTAGATATCTTTGGATTAAACATAATGCACAGTCTGACATAAAGGAAGGCCCCATATCAAACTTTATGCCTATGATTGAAACCAGAATCGACGCTGCCTTCTGGATACCACGCAGATCAACTGCTTACCTCATTCATGGTAACTGAGTTATTGCTTTCTATATAAGCTTAGAGCATCTTATTGCAGAAATGACACCTAAAAGCCCTTTCTCCTCTTAGTGTGATTTACATCAGGACTGAGGCACTCTGGCGGTCACAGAGCTGATTTAGAGAGCTGGTATGAGAGCAGAGTGAGCAGCATGTCATTGTTTTGAACAACACTTCTGTTGCTCTGCTCTGTGATACTGGCTTCATTGTTTAAACAGACTTAATTGAATTTTTCCTTTTCAATTGCTGCATTGGAAAAAAAAACATTTTGATTTCTTCAGTTTCAGTCAAAAAATTATAACATATTCCAAACCCTTTTCTGTTAACAGAGTCCACATTCTGGACAGTAAGAGGGTCTGTTGTGAGGGGGAAGCCAAGATCAATTTCCTTCTTTGGATTTCCAGCTTGGGTTCAAGATGTTGATGCAACTGTGCATATTGTTAAAACAGGGCGTACCCTCTTCTTCATGCATGATATTTACTGGAGGTAAGGAAATACTTAAAACAATATGTTCCTACTGCAAAAGGAATTTTCTGGCTTTTTGTTAACATATTCATGTATACTTTCATGTCAAAGATGTCCCGCAAATTATGTATTTTACATAATTATGTCAAATACAAGTATAATTATAATACTTTACCCAGGCAGCCATTGGCAGAAAGAAACTGATTCATAAAGCACAGATTTACTGTACTAGACATACAATTTCAATCAATCAACACTCTTTTGTTTACAATACACGAGAAGACTGCTTTATTTGCTGATGCACAAAATACAAATTTTGATATTTCTCAGAGTGAAAATCACGTAAGTGTGACTTTAAATTTGTCCTATGATTTTTTATTTTTATTTTTTTCAGTTACAACGAGAATCGAAAGGTGATGGATTTTGGTTACCCAAGATCCATCAGTGATGACTTTCCAGGAATCAACACCACAATAAATGCAGCTTTCTATAAAAGAAGTGGGTAAATTGCACAATGCATCCATCCACTTGGAAATATGATACCAAATACAGTTGGTACTCATTTAGAAGAGTCTGTAGCCTTGTTGGGGCTTGTTAATTTGGAATGTGGATTTGCATCTAACACCTGCAGCATGAATTTGGGTTTTTACAGCTTGCATATGTAGTATATGATTTACACTGTATAATTTGACATTTGAATTCCTTTATGTGACATAGTGCAATTTTAGTTGTCAGAAAGACTGATATTTTAGTCCCTAAGACATTCATGGCTGTAAACACCTTCAAGAAAAGGCGTGCATAAGTCTAGACAACAACAATTTGAAGAAGGTTGAACATCGCTCTGTCTGAATGTTGTGTTCTAAAGATCTGTTTTTGTCTGTTTTTATGTTGATTTTAGATTTCATCTACTTCTTTGTGGGACCACAAGTCTACAAATTTGACTACACCCACAAATCTATTGTCGGAGTGGAAACAGCTAATGCTTGGCTTGGCTGTTGAAAGAAAAATCATTGAAACAGATACAGAAGGAAAAATATATTTTTTTTAGGGTGAAATGTCTTTACATGTCTTTTTTAAAATAAAGAATTGAACACCTTAATACCTTTGCCTTTTGAATGTGAATCAGTTAAATGTTCTTGGATTGCTCTGTGGTGTCATAAATTCTCATTTTTACTATGTGTATGTGCTGTAGACTGAAAGACAGACAATCAGAAACCAACTTATCTGTTCCTCACGTATGGCTGCAGGTTTAGGCATGACTTAGTAGAAAGAAAAATGCTTTCAGCACTAATTTCTATATTATAAAAAACACAGTTTTCCATAAATTCCAGACATTGGTGGGTAACCACAAATCTCCAGGTAGATCTCACCGTAGCAGTCATGATTTAGACCACGTGATTTTCCAACTACCTCATGAATGTTCTCATATAAAAACAGATGTTCAGGAAGGTGAAATGAACATTGAAATATGGAGTTGGTGTGCATGTGGACACTCGTTTTGAGCACTTTTATGTTGGTGGAAATCTCGTGGACTCGACCCATTGAGGAAGATCAGCGTCTGACTCCTGATGATTTTGAGCTTGCAAAGGTTTGTTGGCAAATAGCAGTACTGCAGTATGGCTTCATATATTTCTATGAAAAATCATTTTACATATAACATTTGTCATTATTGTGATGTCCTTTAACTTTAAATTAATACTGCATCCATATAAAACAGATTTGCACTATTCTTTGATTAAAATGTATTTCTGCAAGGTAAAAATGGATTTCTTTTCTTTTCACCAAAACAGACATTGTTCTCAAAAAAATATGAAGCCCTAGTTTATGGAGAGCCATTTCAGCCATTCTGTGGTACAATCTTGTATTTTGAAAATGTTCATTGTTTTTTTGGAGAATTAGACTCCAAACAAAACATGCATTAACAAAAACCAAAGCTGTGAAAACTGAAGTCTGGTTGAGATGAATTACAGTTTATTACAGTTAACAAATTTGCCACAAAAATTTTGGTGGCTTGATGATTACCATATTCACGTGTGCACACATTTTTCAATAAAATTGACTTTGAAACAAAAGTAAAACAAGGTTTAGATAGATAGATAGATAGATAGATAGATAGATAGATAGATAGATAGATAGATAGATAGATAGATAGATAGATAGATAGATAGATAGATAGATAGATAGATAGATATGATAGATAGATAGATAGATAGATAGATAGATAGATAGATAGATAGATAGATAGATAGATAGATAGATAGATAGATAGATAGATAGATAGATAGATAGATAGATAGATAGATAGATAGATAGATAGATAGATAGATAGATAGATAGATAGATAGATAGATAGATAGATAGATAGATATGATAGTGATCTATTTTAAATGTTTGATGGTTAGTTGATCAAATATTGAAAATTAGATTTAAACTATAATGTGAGCAGGGTTTTTCTTCTGTTAGTTAATTTGTTTTTGCCTGGACTGCCTCTCAGAAAACATGTGCTTCATTAACATGTGGGAACAAAAGAAAAAAAAAAAAGCTAATCTGTTTTAACTTTATGTCTATTGCGTATCATCTTAAAGTGTGAGGTTGCAAAATGACAAAATGTGAAAATGTTCAATGGGTGCAAAGAATTTTCCTGTGCATTTCAACAGAGTTACCTAAGAAGGTTCTATAGTCTCAGACTCGGAGGCACAGACTACAGAGGTTCAACCCGTAAGATCAGGTCTGCATCAGCCATGGAGCAGAAGGTCAGGCAAATGCAGAACTTCTTTGGCCTGAGAGAAACAGGAATCCTGGATTCCAACACCATGAATGTCATGAAGAAGCCGAGGTGTGGTGTTCCTGATGTGGATAACTATAGTTTTTATCCTTATCACCCCAAATGGAAGAATCGTACCATCTCCTACAAGTGAGACTGTTGTACTTCTGCAAGTAAAAAATATTGTAAAGTTGTTTATTTCTATTGCACACAGGAATTTTGTCTGATGCCTTGTACAGGATAGCAAAGTATACCCCAGACCTGAGTAGAGAGGATGTGGAAAACTCTTTTCGTTTAGCCCTGAAGATGTGGAGCGACGCAGCTCCTCTGAATTTTGTTAAGGTCAACCATGGCAAAGCTGATATTGTCCTCACCTTTGCACACAGAGGTAAATCTGAAAACTCTTGTGAGGAGTTGCTTGGCTTTGAACAGTGTAACAAGTATCTAAATCGTAGGACATTAATTCAGAAGTATTTCTGTATGTTGCTGAAGCTCATGGAGACTTCTCTCCCTTTGATGGACCTGGAGGAGTGCTGGCCCATGCCTTTCAGCCTGGAGAGGGGATGGGTGGAGACGTACACTTTGATGAAGACGAAACATGGATGACAGGGGGGCAAGGTTTGTCGTATTCGGTAAACAACATCCATTTAATAAAGCTTGGTACTGTTCTTTTGACAGCAAAAAAGATTAATAACAATCAAGTATGACCAAAGCATGAAGTGAGCTATAGTGCCCTTTCTATCAACTACCCTTTGCTAGAACCATGTTGATCCCTCTTTTGCCTTTAAAAATTGTCTCACTTGTTTACTTAAACAACTAGAATTTAGCTAACATTGACATGACAATATCACACAGTTATTGTACATTTGTTGGCTGCACATCCATGATGAAAATTTTCTCATTCACCTCATTCCAGAGGTGTCCGATTGGATAGACATCAGGTGACTACAGCTGCTTTGTCGTGGTCCACAGACCAATTTGTGACAAACTGGCAATACAGATAAATGGGCGCTTGATAATCTGGCAGTGCAATGCATCTTTTTAAACCCACAAATCGGTGCAAAAGCAGCTTTTTGCAATCATTTGAAGATACTCCAACTGAGCTAACAGATATTTTTTGTTGGTGTATAATTTCAGGTTTCAGCCTATTTGCTGTTGCAGCTCATGAACTTGGTCACTCGCTTGGTTTGACTCACTCCAGAGACCCCTCTGCTGTCATGTTCCCCACTTACAGACATCAGAGCAGCAAACAGTACACTCTTTCCACAGATGATGTCCTGGGGATCCAAATGCTTTATGGTGAGGAACACATTTTACTCTCAATGGAATATTTTCTCATTAAAAACAATAAATGATGCAAACGAAACACAATGTTTCTATCACTGTTACTCAGGCAAACCCAAGACAGAAGCTGAAAATCGACCTAAAGTTCCAAAGAAATGTGATCCCACGTTTTTCTTTGATGCAGCTGTGGTGGTCCAAAAAGAGATTGTTTATTTTCAGAACAGGTACCCTTTGCATCACACTGCAGAATAGTGCGCTGAATAAGTTTTAAATGTAGCTCTTTTTTTTTTTAATAAATCCAGATTCATATGGATGAGAACAACAAAGTTGACTTACTGGAATCGGCTGAGGGAAGGCCACATCAGCACATATTTCCCCGACATCGGTTCTCCTGTCGATGCCGCTTATGACATCCCAGCCAAAGGCGTGGCATACCTATTCACTGGTAAAGAAAAAGGCACTCTGCAATGCTTTGCTCAGCCGGTGTCATCATGACATGGCTGGATTTCCAGCTGGAGAAGGCAGGGTTACGCCCAAATTACAGCCTTTTGCAACTTAAGTGTTGCAGTTCATGCAAGAGGCTCGCCGATTTTGGCAGTGTCTGTGGTATGTTGGTGTTTTTCATTGTGTTTTTGAAATGCATACACACAGCTGTGTTGTTTTTTTTTCAGGTCATAAGTACTGGGTGGTGCAACAGTTAAAGACACGAGGCACAGCTGGCAACATCTCAGAGTTTGGTTTCCCGTCCAGTGTAAGGCGGGTTGATGCTGCCGTTCATGTTGCAGAATATGGGAAAACCATCTTCTTCATCGGACAGTTTTATTACAGGTAAATTAATCAAATGTTTTACATTTGGAATGTTCTTCTTCTGAGACACAATTTGAAAGCATTGTTCCCAACAATTAAATGTACGTAGTTGGGAAAGTCTGCCACTTGTGATGTCTGTATTAAAGAAAAAACAAACAAACAAAAAAACCAATAGTTGTTCATTCTCAAAATAGAAATTTTATAATTACAATACGGTGGATTTGTACAATTTAAACTCTGTTAGAATGCTAGTTTAGTGTAATGTAAGACATTAAACACCACAACACAACATTTGTTGTGTTATGGATCCCCTGCATTTCAACTTAAAATACAAACAAAAGAAAAGAAAAGGTGAAATAATCTAAACCTAACACTTCTTGAATTTATTTCTACCATCTACTCAACCTAAAACATTTTGAAGAGAGATTAGAAAGGGTTAATGCATCTAATTATACAAAATAAATATAGAGAAATTGAGAAAAGCATAGAAATTCTGCAGCATTATCTTTAGACAACAGTAATGTAAAGACGGCCAATGTTAATTGGAGGCAATATTAAATAACAGCAATATTAGATTTTCTTCTAATATAACGAAGACAAAAAACTGGTGCGTCATGTTGGAAAAAAGGCTGATAGCAACACTGATGGAGGTACGAGACATTTTGACAGAAAATAATTTTCTTTTTTTATTCAGACTTCATCTGGAACTGGGTTTTTTTCAAATTGAATGAAATTATGAACAGTTCCAAATAGCAATAACATATGATTGTACACCTACAAATATTTGCTAGAAAACTGAAAAGAAACTTCTTTCATAAACTTCAATAAGTTAACAAAAGAAAGATTTCACTGACAGAAGGACACATTTTTGATTGCCAGGCAAGAGCTTATAAATATACATGAAAGAAATACTGCAGATTTACCTAATGATTTCTTCACTGTCTAACATAATTAAAAAAACATTTTGAAAGGTTTTGAAAAGGTGCTCCAGTGAAGGAATGTATACTTATGCAGCCAAGTTATTGCTTTTGTATTTTTATCTTTATTTCTCTCCAACACACTCTTCACATAAACAGAATATGACTTCAGGAAAGCAATAAAACAATGTTTGACATAAATTTGGCACTTTTGCTGCTTGACTTGCAGTGCAGCCAGACATTTTGAGCAATAAACTTTCTAATGCCTTTTTCTTTCACTTCAGGTATGACGAGCAAAAGAGACAGTTGGATTCTGGCTTCCCCAGGTTCATCCAGACAGACTGGCGTGGAATCCCAGGAAAGGTTGATGCTGCGTTCAAGTTGCATGGTAAATTGAGAGAAACTCTGTTTGTAAGCCCAAGAATTTCATTTTATGTCGGCCTGGGTGGCATAACACAAACAGAACAGAACTAAAATAGAAACTAGAAATGTCTATTTTTTTCCACAATGTTGAGATTGAGTTTCCCGAAAAACACAATCTGGTGCTGTAGAAAATACGGAAACTGTTCTATGGTATAATTGTTATTTTGTTTAATCATATATTTTTAAAAAATCTGCAAGATTTATTTTTCAACAAGGACATATAGGCTGCATTTAAATCTTTTTCGTTTTTCATGGTTTTAAACAAGAGTTCTTGGTTTGTTTTGCTCCTGCAGGCAACATCTTCCTCCTCAGCGGGTCTAAATCCTACCAATATGACTTCAGACAGAAGCGGGTGGTGAACATAATTGCAGGAAATTCTTGGCTGGGATGCTAACTTACAGAAACCCACACTTTATGTAGCTAAAAAAATAAACCTAACTACACATGTAGTTGTTAAACACAGATTATACTGTTGCATGACTGAACAGCAGTCTATGATGACCACTGTGTAAAGGCTGTACCGTGTTAAGGATTTATTGTGCAATATGAAAGTCATGTTTAGCATGTGTTGTTCTTTTTATGGGATGTTTTGAGAGTTATGTATTCTTCCAATTTAGCTCATTGTGAGGGTTCCCATCCAAATGCACTTAAATGTAATAACCAAATATCAGAATAAATTTTCTATGACAGTTGCATAAAACATGTATTTTTTTGTGAACAAGATACAAATTATGTCACTGAACTCAATAAAATCCTTTGTTCATATGTCTTGCTTATTTTTTATGAGACACGTGAAGACATTTCTTCTTTGCTCTCCAGAAATAATGGAAACATGTAGGTGGGTGAAATAAACTGAATATCATCTATTTTGACAATACTTGATGCAGTAGGATAAGCTTCTGTTTTCTGTCTGGGGCACTTGAAATGTTTACCTGCTTCAGGAAAGCCAGATTTCACAATTTTGGATTAAAAGTTCTCACTACACATTCCTGTACAAGGAAATGGTAAAATGGATTTGTACAAATGCAGGCTTGGGTAACACAGCCAAGTATTTATAAATCATTTGGTTAAAGTTGACCTGTCTACGAACTATGTTGGGAAATGTTGATTTCTTTGTTTGGATGGGGCAATCTTCAGAGTTGGTCTCATTAAGCTTGTTTGGCCACTAAGGAGGAAAAAATAATAGCACATATCTGAGTGACTGCTCTTAAAACCAGAAATTATAAATTGGTATTCCATGACGATGCAGGTTTGAGTAGCCTACATACAAAGAGTGAGAGAATGGAAACAAATCCTGAGACTTCTGTTGACATCTTTCCAGACTTCAGAGGAAAATTGTTGCACTGTGCAATAGATCCAGATCCTTACAACACTGTCAGAATTTATTTTGGTTTCTCCAGAATTACATCTGAAGAATTTTGTTCAAATTGGTAAGTATATAATTTGGTACTGTGGTACTGCAGAAATACAAAAAAAAAACTTCGAAATTCTGAAAATGTCTATATTTGCTCACCTGGATCTGGCACAAAATAGAAAATGGTACAACTATAAACAAATAATAATTTTTATTTATGGACTTGAAACTTTAGGTAGCTTTAAAAAATATTGAAACGACACAATATTGGACAACAACATTTGAAGATGTATTCAAATGAAAGTTCAGTCTTACTGACAATACATGAAACATACTGTTGTGTGAAGAGACGTTGAACATATTTCATTTTCTTGCTCATTGGCTGCAGATAATACTGTTTTTTAATCAGCTTGTTCGAGGGTAGCTTAGTTTTAGACATCCTGCCAGAACTGCTCCCTTGTTTAGTTAAAATGGCAGAACTAAACAAATGCACAAATATGCACGCACAAAAACATAAATACAACCATTTTAGAACGTTTAACAGCGAAAATAAAGTTAGACTTAAGTTTGTCTTTTTCATATTATTTAACATGCATTCAAATTTAATCATATTATTAGTGCCAGCAAATCGCTTACATGCAATATTACCATTACTACTTTCATGTGCGACACAATTTGTAGGTTTGGTTAAGCGAAGCAATGAAATGCATGACAGCGTATATGTGACGGAACTCTTAATTTGTCAATTCATTTTGGGTTAAACCCGGATATCCTGTAAAAGTGCTCACGAATGAAATGCTCGGAATGACAACGTTGTCCATTTATTTTCTTTCTTTTTTTTTAAAGATGGAAACTGAATCAAATGTGTGCTCATAAAAATAAAGCATGTTGCTTAACTGCTAAGAAGACATAAAGCATCACTAACATGTCGGCTACTTTGCATTAGCGATCAGTCTCAGTCTCACTCTGCGAGTAAACAACACAAAGGTTCCGCTTGCCACAGGACATAACAGAAAGGAGCACAAAACGTTTTACTGCATTGCTGCAGGTATTCGTTAACTGGAAAGCAAGCAAATTACGATTACTGTGTTTAGTTTTGTTACAACACGCTAGATCATACATATGCAGAAAGTCTAAGTTTGACTGTTCTAATATTTCTATTCCCCCCAGCAGAGTATTTGCCCTGTGGTCAATGGAGTCACTCAACACGTTTGAATCTGAAATGGAGCCTGATGGGCAGACACACTACTCTCTTTTTCCTGCTCTGGACAACATAGCAAGCCTGTCAGGGGCAGCAGAGAATCTAGAGAGGTCTGTTCAAAAATACTGCAGTTGTTGCTGAACGTATTTTTTGTGTATTAGCCTAAATGGTAAACATGTTATGTATATGCACAATTTGTTGTATTTAGCTATATAACTAAACACTGAATTTTAACTTTGTCTCAGGAAGTGTGAGGAGGGACTGCAGTTTGCACCTTCCAGAGGCTTGAAATTCTTGTACATTGTGTTTTCAATGTTTTGTATTTTGTTTTCAGCTGTGTCTCAGTCACATGCTCAGTGAATTAGGATAAATAGACATTATGTATTCTGGTCACCAGTTGCCTATTTCTCAGTGCGTCATCTTATTTTGATTCAGTCGTTATTATGTTTTATGTGTTTGTTTATCCGTTTGCAGTGAACCACCCAGCGAAATTACTGAGAAACCAAATCTCACATGGCTTGATGCCGCTCAGGTATTACTCACAAATTTATTACACCTAATTCTGCCAGCATCTGCTGCTTGAGCCATTTATTTGGGTTTCTATGGCGTAATTTTGCTTTTTCTGGTGTAAGATTGTACTGGAGGAAGCTGGCCGTCCCATGCACATAAAGGAGATCAAGCAGAGAATCATTGACCGGGGACTTGTTCAATCCAAGTACTGTAATCGTTCTCATTTGATGCTAAAAGTTCTTGTGTGCATTTTGACACTCAAAGTTTCTCTTTTGGTAATTGGTGACGTTTGCATGCATTCATTTGAACAAAACTGTACATTTTGTATGATGTTCTGTCACGCTCTTGTTAGTGATTTCTAAACCTACCTGTGATTTCATTATTATGTTCTCAACAGTGCAAAATCAAGCCTGGAAGCAGTCATGTATCGTGAGGTAAGGATTGTTTATTTTCCTACACTATTAAAGTTCTTCCTTGTGTTAGTGTGAATGTCTTTTAATTTCTCCATGTTTTTCCATCCTGTTTTGTTGACCATATTTGATCATATATGAAGATTTTTGAACTCTGATTATGTCGAAGGGTTGCTTAGAGCCAACATGCATAATCCTTAAAACTGCTGTAACTAATAGGGATGCAGTTTACCTAAACCTGACCGACAGAATTAGGGTAAATAATTTTTCCTCCCCCAATGCATTCGGCCTCAGTCTCACACTATGTTTCAGACACAAAAAGGAAGCAGGAGATTCAAGAGGATTGAAAACAGAAATGGAGTCTTTGCATTACTGGTGAGTTTTCTGGAAACTGACATTTGTTATACACCTAAAGATGATATTTAATTTACAAAAATGTACATAGACATTTTCTGATATACTGTTTACTACTAAGGCCATCGTACTTACAGAAGATCTGTTAGACGTTTGTGTCAGTTCTACTTTTCTCCAATAAATATACTGAAAGTAGAATACAAAGTAGGAAAGTTTGATTACTATGCACAGCAGATTTGTTTTCGGACAAATATGTACATACCACAATCCAAAGAAGTATTTGTTAAATATTTATTAAAGTAATAATTTGAATTAAATACAAATTAATTAGTCATATTTAGTAAATATGGGTTCCAATGTGTCTTGTTTTTCAGATTAAAAGTAGCTTTTTAAAATAGCAACCTACAGGCAAATATTAAACACATTTTTCATTAGACTCACATTTCTGTATTACAAATTATATTTATTGGTCTGATACAATATTGTAATCCTAAATGTTACCTTTTTATGAGCTTTAAGCAAGAAACCATCATCATTTACAGTAATAAAATCTTTAAAATGTCAGTCTTTGTGGAATTAGTCTTTATAATGTGTTTTACTTGAGATACATGAACTTTCCAATGATATCCTAATTTATGGAATGTGACTGTACATTAAATAAATAATTAAAGCATCAATAATATTTAAAAGGGAACTTATTAAACTGCAGTGTAATCCAATTACATTTCATAGATATTAACTCATTATATTAAACTATTAAATTTTTTTTTTCTTTTTTTGCAAATCCCAGGCTGTAATTCATTGTGAAATGATTTAAACATCTTCTCCATAACATCAAAAGAACCTGAACATCTGACTGGTTAACCTGAACAACTCAGAGTGCAGACCCTGAGGTTGAGCAATGAATCCCACCTGATAATTTTAATGCTTAAGGCATGACAGACTAATATAAAAATACATAAAATAAACAGATTATATTAGATTATTATAAAATATAAGGAGTGCACATTTGCAGAATTATTTTTACCTTTGATAAATAAAATATTTAATTTGAATAGTTATTGAGAAATGTTTCTTTCACATGTATGTTTTTATATTTTTATTGAAATTATTAGAGATGCAAATATTTATTATCTTGATGTATCAAATTGTGGCACTTGAGCCTTTGGAGACATTTGAGTGCTCCATATAAAGTTTCAGTAATCCAAGCATATTTTGTTATTTGTTTGTCATTATCACATTTCATGTCAGATCTTGTGTTAATCGTCCACATTCCGCCAAGCTGAAAGCAACACAGCCTCATCTTCACATACTGTGAACACCTTCCTGTCTCTCTCTGCCTCCTTGCAGACTGATGAGGAGCGTCAGCAGGTCCTCACTGCCCAGGCTTTCCTCAGCTTGCCGCCACCGGCGCCTCAGAGTGGAGCCTCCAGCTCTGGCTCCGGGGCCTCAATGCCTGCTTTTCCCTCTCCCTCAAGTTCCTGTGAGCAGAAACCGAAGATAAAGAAGGCCCAGCGAAAAAACCAAAATGAGAAGTACAGACTGAAGTACCAGAGGCTGCGCAAAGCTGCTCGCACCATGATATTCGTAAGGAAACTTTGCATTCATGTTTGTCAAGGTTTTGGTTCTCATAAATACAATGAGCTACATCCTTAGAACAAAATGGATTTAGCTACATGCTATATATTAACTTTGTGCATACGGTCAGGAGAAAAAAAAGCACACTTTCATTCAGTTCTGAGTTTTCTTTATGGTGTCATTTTAGTGCTCAAGTGACAAGTGAAAAATTACTCTCCTCTATTATTAAAATTGATTTGATTCTTATAATATTCCAACATAATTGCAATCTAACATCAAGTGTACAGCAGTGCACAGCACACTGGTATTGTATGTAAAATAAATACAAAGCCGTTTTGTAAAAGACTTTGTATCTAAACTTAGCATTGCTTATTTGATGCAGCCATTTTCTGCACTAATTACTCCCATGTTTATATGAAGATCTGAAAGGTAATCACTGGCAATGTTTTTTATTATGCAATTTATTTCATTGACTGCCAGAGGCATATATAGGTGATGAGAAATGTAATTTTTTAGCGTGCAGCCTGACTGTACTGCTCTCCATTCCTCAGGAAAATGCTGCACTCTGTGATGAAATTGCTCACACAGAAGAGAGGTTTCTCAGAGCAAAAGAGGAACGCAAGTAAGTAAATATATATTTTGTGCTTAATTTTTTCAAGCAGATTTCCAAAGCTGTGTGGTAAATTGGGTTACTTTCCTTGTCTAGGTTCTTATTAAAGTCCTTGTTGCAGTACCAGACTCTGTCAGAGGGGGAGCTCCTCCCCACTCCCAGTTCCAGCTCCGTTCCTTCTGTTCCACCTGCAGCACTGACTTCAGCTCCTGCTGCTGGGCCTTCAGGCTCGTCTTTGGCACATAACCCAATGTCGCTTGTGTCAATAGGAGAGGAGGGTCTTCTTAAAAAAACCAAGAAAGAAAGAAAAGACCGGGGAAAGGAAAACGGAAAGGAAGAATGTAAGTGTGAAAGCGAATATATGAGTGTGACATGTTCGGATTGGTAAATGTCACAAAATGTGTCTCCAGTTCCAAAGAAAATGTCCAAGAAGAGGAAGCTGACAGACGGGTCACGCAGACTGGTGCAGCCCATTCCGCTGGATTCTTCAGGCCGTCCCGTGTTTCCCATCGTACTCGGAGGGTTAACGGTCTACAGCTTAGGAGAGGTTGGCATCGGAGATGACTCTTTATATCATAGCAAAATTTATATAGTTATAGCATTAAGTTAATAAGTATTAATATATATATATTTTTTTTTTCAAGCTGACACCAACCTCTGTTTATTGAATCTGATCTTCTTGGGTGCTCTTTAGATAATCACAGACAGGACGTTGTTTTACGATGAGTGTGCCATCTACCCAGTTGGCTTCTGCAGCACGCGTGTCTATGCCAGCATGAAACACCCTGAGCAGCAGTGCCTCTACACCTGCCAAATCAAGGATGGAGGAATCGGTCCACAGGTGAAAACAGACAGAGGTTTTACTTTAGCTTCTTAAATGCATTATAAATGTTAAAATCACAGCTTTGACATACAGTCTTCTGAGGTCAGCACACATAAGCAGATTTATTGCATAGTGGGTTAATCTTTTTTTTTCTACCTTCCATCGCTAGTTTGAGATTGTACCTGAAGAAGATCCTCAGAATGCCATCGTAGCCTCCTCTGCTCTGACGTGCCATTCAAATCTGCTGAAGGCTATCGTTTCCAACAGGTAGAATGTTTAATCACAAAAAGCCCTACTAATTATTCCTGAGGTACTTACAAAAACCCCCTAAAATGTAATAAAATCATGTCTCAGTCTAAGCACATGGTTGATTAATATGGTTGATATTCTTAAAATAATTGATACCGATTACTTTTAACATTTTCCTCTCTTAGTTCCCAGGCCGTGGCACCCATAATTCCATCAGGAGCGGACTTCTTCGGCTTCTCTCATCCAACTATTCAGAATCTCATCCAGAGCTGCCCCGGAGCTCGCAAATGTAGCAAGTAAGTTATTTTAGCCTGTTGCATATTAACTAGAATCCTTCTTACACACTTAGTTTTCTGATCTGTTTCAGTCACATTGTGTTTATTAAATAATTTTCCAATTTGAATTTAACACGTGAAAAGTAAAGAGCCATGCAACAAACGATAAAACAAAGGCTGAATTAAGTAAATAAAATTATTGCAGTAAAAGGTATAAACAATATGAAAATGTTGATATTGAATAATTTAAAACACCCCAAAAATGTATTTTAGCTTTAAGAGATAAAACATACATGTCCATATGTATTGTAGAGTAATTGTATTATTTATAATTTTAATGATAAATCGTACCTTGAATATTAAGATCAGATTAAAATCTAGGAAACCAAACAAAAAACCTAACATCCGATCAATGGAGGAAGTAAGAAAAATATGAATCAAAAGAATATTAGAAATTTTATTTGGAAGCTTAATTCTGACAACTGACAGTAGCTCCATATACAGTTAGGGCCAGAAATATTTGGACAGTGACACAGGTTTTGTTATTTTAGCTGTTGACAAAATATGTTCAGAAATACAATTTATATATAGTATGGGCTGAAAGTGCACACTCCCAGCTGCAATATGAGAGTTTCCACATCCAAATCAGAGAAAGGTTTAGGAATCATAGCTCTGTAATGCATAGCCTCCTCTTTTTCAAGGGACCAAAAGTAATTGGACAATGGACTCCAAAGGCTGCAAGTAACTCAAAAGGCCTTTCCCTCGTTAACCTGTAATCAAGTAAGTAGTTAAGGTCTGGGGTTGTTTCCAGGTGTGTGGTTTTGCATTTGGAAGCTGTTGCTGTGACCAGACAACATGCGGTCAAAGGAGCTCTCAATTGAGGTGAAGCAGAACATCCTGAGGCTGAAAAAAAGGAAAAAATCCATCAGAGAGATAGCAGACATGCTTGGAGTAGCAAAATCAACAGTCTGGTACATTCTGAGGAAAAAGGAATTGACTGGTGAGCTTGGGAACTCAAAAAGGCCTGGGCGTCCACGGAAGACAACAGTGGTGGATGATCGCCGCATACTTTCTTTGGTGAAGAAGAACCCGTTCACAACATCAACTGAGGTCCAGAACACTCTCAGAGAAGTAGGTGTATCTGTCTCTAAGTCAACAGTAAAGAGAAGACTCCATGAAAGCAAATACAAAGGGTTCACATGTAGATGCAAACCATTCACCAATTCCAAAAATAGACAGGCCAGAGTTAAATTTGCCCAAAAACACCTCAAGACGCCCAGCCCAGTTCTGGAAAAGTATTCTATGGACAGATGAGACAAAGATCAACCTGTACCAGAATGATGGGAAGAAAAAAGTTTGGAGAAGAAAGGGAACGGCACATGATCCAAGGCACACCACATCCTCTGTAAAACATGGTGGAGGCAACGTGATGGCATGGGCATGCATGGCTTTCAATGGCACTGGGTGACTTGTGTTTATTGATGACATAACAGCAGACAAGAGTAGCCGGATGAATTCTGAAGTGTACCGGATATACTGTCAGCCCAGATTCAGCCAAATGCTGCAAAGTTGATCGGACGGCGCTTCACAGTACAGATGGATAATGACCCCAAGCATACAGCCAAAGCTACCCAGTTCATGAGAGCAAAAAGGTGGAATATTCTGCAATGGCCAAGTCAATCACCAGATCTTAACCCAATTGAGCATGCATTTCACTTGCTCAAATCCAGACTTCAGACGGAAAGACCCACTAACAAGCAAGACCTGAAGGCTGCGGCTGTAAAGGCCTGGCAAAGCATTAAGAAGGAGGAAACCCAGCGTTTGGTGATGTCCATGGGTTCCAGACTTAAGGCAGTGATTGCCTCCAAAGGATTCACAACAAAATATTGAGAAAAAACTTTTTTGTTTGGGTTATGTTTATATGTCCAATTACTTTTGAGCTCCTAAAATGTGGAGTGTTTTGTAAACAAATGTGTACAATTCCTACATTTTCTATCAGATATTTTTGTTCAACCCTTTAAATTAAACGTTACAATCTGCACTTGAATTCTGTTGTAGAGGTTTCATTTCAAATCCAATGCGGTGGCATGCAGAGCCCAACTCACAAATATTGTGTTACTGTCCAAATATTTCTGGCCCTAACTGTATTACAAACAAAACTTTGAAGCCACTTTTGTGATTTGTGATTTATTTAATCATTAATTTTACTTGGAGGGAAAAATCATTAAAGGTTGTATGAAATTTTTGAATAAGTAAAATTATTATAATAAGTAAAAGAACACAATAAAAACATTTTGCTTTAATGTACAAAGCATGTGAAGATAGAAAATGGTAGTTTTAAAACAAAAGCTGTGTTTTTAAAATTTGCTTAAACATACCCTCATATCTTCTGATTCCTGACAAACCGCCGGTAAACTTCCTGTCAAAGACTCTCCTTTTTTACAGTGCTGCTGTTACGACTGGTCAAAATTTAGATCCGGTGTTATCAACTGGAACTGGCTGCATGATGTTTGAAAATCGTGCGATGTAATATTGTTTTAGACTGCAATGGTGATTTTCATTGCAGTTGTGATTGTCCCATTTTTTTCCCCTCGTGAGAATGTTTCACCACTCTATTAAATTCATCAATAAGAATCTACATCAGACTTAGGGAGAAAAGGCAGAATCAATCCATTCGATGTGCTATGCATGTGATTTGAATGTAAATTGTTAATGCATGAAACATTAAAATATTATGGCCTATGTGCCGCATCCAAATGCTTTTTAGTGTTTGCTGTATTTTATGCATTGCTATACAGATCCGTAAAGTAACCAATGTACATGACCAAATGAGGTAAATTACTTCTATAAAGTTGTCAAAAGTGTAAATATTAAGAATTATTTCCACAGCCTTACATGTTTCTACAGTTGATTTGAATTTTTACTATTAGAGAACAAAACTGTTGCAAATGTGCGCTAAATTTATAGAGGTTAGATAAGCACCAGATATTTAAGAAAATCAGCTGCAGCTCAGCAATATTTTTCATGTATTTTTTCTTAACTGCAATTTGGCTTTCACCACCTAGCTACAGGTGGATTCGTTTCGAGGTGTGTCGTCATGGTGATAGCCAGCTCCCTCGCGGCCTATCAGAAGATGACGCTTCGATTAGCTTCGAGGCCTACCTGAGACACCAAGGCCTGGATGGGAGCATCAAGATGGAGCACATCACAGGTGCAATAGCACGTTAATGCTTGGCAGTATGGCAGATTACCTCTTTTTATGGTGGTTCATATAAGTTTACATTTTAAACAGTGAAAGCCCAGGCACAGTGGAGTTAACAATCCACTTAAGTTTTAATAAGTTGGTCTCAAAAGTGGTAAAAGTTCCAACAAGTCATTGAAACAGGTTAATGTCATTTAACGATTCCAGAGAAACTGCCAGTGACCAGCTGTTTGATGCTTAGAGTAGCACCAGCCAACAGGACAAACTGCTGATTGGAGAGAAAAAAACAAAAAAAAAAAGTTCTGTTTTGAGACATAGTGGTAGATGCTTATTACCCAGACAATTTCTATTGTCATATGGTTGTACTTTCCCCCTCTTTTTTCTATAGAGAAAACCAAGTTTAATAATCTGATTAAGAAGCAGTTATAAACTTACTAACATTTGTGGATGATTACTGCGTTTTGATTCAGATATAAAAATAAAAAACAATAAAAAAATTGACATAACTACATAAATACCACACCCACTTATTACTGTGGTGAATATGAAATGCCATTAAAAAATAAAACAGCGTGCTTTTTAGTGAATCCTACATTTAAAGTAAAGATATTTTTAGGTATTTGCTTATTTGAGGCATTGGACACACACCATTTGTAGTAATTAGTTTACCAGGTTGGCATAGTTTGCACATCACCCGTTATGAATGCACCCGTTAATGTTTATTTTTTTCTTCAGGACAATCGCCTCCATCTCCTAGTTCCTCGCATCAGCAACACCAGACCTCCCCCACCATGAAGCCCTCCACTTCTTATTTTGGCTCCTGAGAGTCCGCTTTGAAATCACGTCTTTTTTTCCCTTCAGTTCACCATTTCAAAAATCCAAGTCTTGTTTAACTCAAACATTTCTGGTGTGTGATCTTTCAGGATTTCTTCAATGAAATACCTCAGAGTGTCTACATGCTAAACATGGCTGAGCTGTTGCATTCAAAAATGTCAAATATCTGGTTTCTCTGTGTTAGTATAAAGGTTGATATTGGTTGTAGAAATCAAGTTGAGTTTATACTGTTCCATTTTTTTTAAGTGTACAATCTTGTCTATCAACATGGATTACAGAAGCAAATGTTGCATAGCTGTATATAATCATGATGAAAAGTTGTATATAGAATTAAACTGCCATTTAAATGTTTTGTCCCAAGAGTATGGATTTATTTTAAGTTTGTTTGGCTCATTCTATAAATAACAAAATGATAGATCAGCATTTCCACACTTTTGTTTTAACATTCCAGACACAAATTAGTGCAATTTCTCATTTATTTTCAAAAGTATACACACAAGCATTACAATAAATGTTGACTGTAATATGGCTGGATGAATAAATGGGAACATCGATCAAATGATGGTTTTAAGAGACAAAAACAAAGGGATTTAACATTTAAACGATAAGAAATACAAAGTACAGCCCCAATGTTTAATGGAAAATACTTCAGAGAAATATGTTGGAGACCCTCTAGGAACCCTGCACATCTGACTGCATTTTTACACCCTTTCAGGAAATTTTCAACTTTTATAATAATCCATTATAGTTTTGGTGTAGTTTCCAGGTCTTGGAGGCAGGGGGAAATTACTTGGAAAAAACAACATTGAAACAAGTTCCCAGACTTAAACATTTCTACAACTTGCATGCATCCATCTGCAGTTTGTCCAATATCCCTTTTCATTTTCTCTTTGTTTTCTGCCCACCCATTTTCATTCTTTCCCCTCTATTCCAGTCTGTGGTTTTTACAGAACCCATATTTAAACCTCAACTTCAGTAGAAATATCACCCATAAAGTAACTACTGTACTTTGTTTTGAGATAATTTATATTAAATACAAAAGAGAACTACAGAAAATTGATTCTGAAAAATAATTTTACATAAAAATATAAAATAAAATGGGTAAATATTGAGACTGGTTTTCACAACATAGTCCTTATTGCACCAAGAAATCATACTTATTGCATCACCTGGTGACACACATTACAGCAAAAAAACAAAGTCTTAACCATGTATGACCATTAAGTGTTCATTTATCCTGAGAAAACTGGACTAAAGTTGTCATAGTACTTAATATTACCATCATAAAACCAGTAGAGTAAACATACCTTAGACACCTTTGTGGGCATAATTGTATGCTTCTACCAGTCATTTTATTACTCATAAAAATAGTGGATTTTGTTAATTAGAAAAGAGAACAAATCAATTTAAAACCCTTTATTTTTTTCCCCCTCACCTTGTAGTTTAGGTGTTTTACCAAATGTGATTGCCTGCATATCGATTGGTGATAAAAGGAGGTGCAGGTAAATTCTTACTGGAATCATAAACAGGACATGCTTTAAATTCACAGGGCCAGTCTCTCCATCCATATCTAAGAGCAGCAACTTTAGATGGTGGGCATGCAGAAGCAGACAGCTGGATGGTGGTCTGATTCCAAACCATAATGGGAGCTGGTGACCAAAGGGAATCGGGTTCACATGACGCATTCTTCTCTGAGCAACAGATCTTTAATTAAAAAGAAGAAAAATTATAACATGATTTTTTTTTGTCATTCCAGTCATATTAATATTAACATCTAAAGGCGTAGTAGTATTGTTTTACATTACACAAAGTTAGTTAATGTAGAACTTTAAGAGAAATGGTGAAGAAATGCTACTCATCAGTGCAATGTTCCCAAACATTCATGGAATCGATACAGCAATAAATTAAGCTTCTGTAACAGTGCAAAGACCTCATGAAAGAAAGACAGCCAGCTTATATGAACTCATCCATTTCTGATGTGAAGAAAGTTATTTCAGTAACCATTTTAAAAGTAAAAATTGCACAATTATTTCACTGCAGTAATTTTAAGTGTACATTTCTGTTGAATTTATTTGGTTTACAGCTAATCGAAACCCAAAGTTTGGTTTCAAAGTATTGTATGTTACTTAAGATTTCTTTTTCAAAGTATTTTCACAACATAGACTATTGAGCAATATATCCATGTACAATGTAATACAATGTAATACAAGTTCATTTTGCATGAATTGCTGCAACAATGTGGCGTGAAGGCGATCACCCTGTGCTTCTGCTGAGGTTGCTTTAAAAGTTGACTTTAGCTCGTCTGCATTATTGAATCTAGTGTTTCATCTTCCTCAAGGAAGATTAAATACTATGTCAACTTATGTCAACTAACATACTCCAACAGAAAACTTGGCTCCCCAAATATAAAGTGACTGTAGAAAACTCACACTGGATCTCAAACAACTTGGATCATTTGCCACTTTTCTTTTCCCCTGGACGCTGATGTTCTAATGAAATTCTACATTTACTTTCAATAGAAAGGAGAACTTTGGAAGAGTCACTTTACTACCTTTTCTCTCGTTCAAAAGTGTTTTAACCCAAGAAATACAAGAATTATACTTTAAACATCTGTGTGCTTTTGGGAAGCCAGTTTTGAGCACCTAGTACCATGTTTTAATTTTCACAAATAGAAAAATGACTATATGGTTGAAAAGAAGGAGGGAAAAAAAAAAAAAAAAAAAAAAAAAAAAAAAAAAAACGCCTTACAATTCAGTTCCGGATAGAATCCAACGCCTCAAATATTAACTTTAGCATTTGAGGAAACATCCTCCTTAATGATATATGGTCATAATTTGCCCTAATAATACATAAAAGCAGAATAAACTCTCATTACCAGCTATATAAACATGGAAGAAAGCCATGGTAAACTCATTAAGTCGTTCTCAGCCCTTGTTGTTTAAAGTCCATTTGCTGTTCATAAATTCTTTGAAGTCATGCCCTAATGTCTAAACATGACTGTCACCATGATATTCATCCGACCGTTGACCTTTAGTGCTTTCTGAAACTACATTTACAATTAATTTGCATTATTTATGCATAGCCATGAACCATATGTAGAATATGGACAGATTTCTTTGTGTAAATGCCACACACATAATGGACAGGTTTTTGGTATCTTTGAGCAAGTCTGCATTATCAAAGTAATTCAGGGCACAAATGATGACATTCTTGTCTTTTCCTTTCTTATGCCATCCCCTGAAAATTAGCAGGGTAATGAGCTGCATCTTTTAAAAAAATGCTAAAGGAAAGGCCCCACTTGATGTTCTGACTCCAGCTGCTCTCCACAGAGTGAATAAGGGCAGAATCTACTTCCAAGTTTTGAAAAGACTGAAGATGCAGTTGTACTTGTTGCTTTTGAATTTTTTCAAACATTTTTTCATACACTCAAAAAATGCTTGAAATATATTATGTGTAAAGGACTTCCATGATATACAAAGTTAACTTTTTGAATTGAATTACCGTACTGAAATAACTTTAAATAATATTCTGATGTATAGAGCAGCACCTGCATTCTGCTGTGAGCCTCACCTCAAAAATGTCTTTAGATGGGGTAACGAAGATCTTCTGGTCATATGTGACGTTGACTGTACTTTCAATAGGCACAATTACTTTGGGGAAAGGTCCCTGGAAAGAGATGCCTTTTTCCCCATATGCCACAGCTCTGGCACCCAGTGTAAGTCTGTGGGCAACATCTTGTTTGTCTCTAGGGTGGATTCTGAAATAGAAAATTCTTCTCCGTAACACTGCTACAGAATATGAGCAAAGAAGACTAAAGATAGTCAATGCAGTAAAATATATTTAAAAAACTGGACAAATTTCTCTTTTCAGTTGAGCAGAATATCTTGTGCATTTTTCTCCTCAACACTTGAAATATTGTCATATTGACAGCATAGCTCACTCTTCTTTATTCTATTGTGACCACACTGGCTGATTTATGCTCCTAAAGACCACAGCTACATAAATTTCTGCTAACTTGGATGACTGCTGTCCAAAGCAAGTGCATTTAGGAAAAGCTTAAAAATTTGAACAGATTTTAACTGCTTAGCATTTTTAGGATTTGCATCCTTACTTGCCATAGGGTGAAGTTTTATCTGGTAAGTCGAAAGCAACCGCCATGAAGGTGTTCTTCATCTTAATGTTTGGGACAAATCCCATGTCTGCAGTTTGGTGCCAGCGAATGTCTGGAAAGCCGTCATCTGTGGCACTTTTTTTGTACGTGGATAGCTGCACATGCAAATAAATAATATACCTGATGCAAAATAACTGTACTATTAGGAATATTTCCTTGTGTCTTCTGCTTGTTTGGCTCTTTTTTTAGATTTAAAGAGCCAAATGCATTGCATACTTGGACAAATCCAAAGGGGAAGTCATGAGCAGTCTGCCCCCCCGATCCTTGGTGAAATGCCATCCTCCAGTCATTTATCATTGTAGGGAATGAGCAGTTGTAGTTGTCCTTATGGTACGCTGCATTTGCCTCACCTGGAAAGAAGAAAACATTTTTATGGATTTTCATGGAGTATATATTTTTCAAAACACCTTTCATATGTCATGACTTTGCTACCTTGGTACCAGATGGCTCCGTAGATGGTCATATTGAGGAATGGATGGATCATTGCATTCCACAAAACGGTGCTCTTCAGCATTGAACTGAGGGATTATATCAAGCGGAGAGGAGAGATCATGAACTCTTACCGGTCGCAAGGTGTCGCAGACTATACATTTTTACATGCCAACTTTCTGATACTTTGCACTATCTGAAAAATTCGAACAGCTTCTTAACGGGGAGACGTTGCACTTTACCGCCAATATTGGGTTATTATGGTAATTTACTCCTGCGTGCTTTTCTTCAGTTTGATCTCATGAAATACTATTAACAGATGGTAAATTGCAACAACTGCTAGACATTGAAAATTCCAGTTGTTATGGAGAAATGGGCAAACATATTTAGTCACAGAACTTTTAAAGAAGTTCATACAATTAAAATAAGCAAAAATATCCAGGTGGAGATTTGAAACTTAGGGTTGAAAGGGTTTTAAACAATATGGAGACATACTTTCCAGTTTGCTGGATCATGTCGTCTTTAAGTTCATACATGTCCTCACTTGGCACCAGTCCACACTGCTTCAGTGCTCTTGCGGATGACCAGGCTTCTACTGGTGTACCTCCCCAACTTGATTCCACCAGTCCAATGGGGTAATTCAACTTATCATACATGTAACGCCCAAAGAGCCAACACAACCCAGAGAAATTTGCCAGCACACCTGTAAGTTCAGAAATACTGTAAAGCTCAGGTGAGAAGTTTACATA